AACCCCAACTGTTAGAAATGCAAGTTATTTGGGACACCCTCAAAAGGTTCACTTTAAACAGACTGCCAGAGGGCTTCCATGACAAAATAGAAAAATTAATTCTAAATGAAAGCAAAACACAGAGTAGCCTCCAAATTGGTAAGAGAAGTTATCGTGATCATTTAGTTATTTAAGAGCAGAATGAAGGAGATGGAGAAATGTTTTTGTAATGTCTCAAGATTGGGGTGGTTTTAGTCATTGTTTCTTTGCTGGGTGCATCTTATAAAAATATATTTATGAGGAGGGGCCCTACAAATTTCCAGCCTGTACAGAGCTTTGCAACCTTACTGCCCATTATCACATTATGGCATTGGAGGTGTAGCAGGCTAAGTCATTAGATCAGAACCTGGAAAATCAGGAAGAGAAACTGGAACGAATTATTTTCTTAAAGCAAGTGGTTAATCAAAGGCAGAAAACTTGTCACCTAGAATTTCCTTGTACACTCTGCCAAGGGATGGGCTGGTCTGGGTCCAAGAACAGGAAGGGAGAACTCAGATGGAGTTGGGGAACAGAAATGGGGGCAAATTCCCAAATGCAGAATCCAAGACAAAGGGGAAAGGCCTACAGTAAGTCAGCATTTCTCAAGGTGAGTCCAGGTGAGGGGTGCGTTTACCTAACGCGGCTGGCTGGAAGCCCGGATTCGCCTAGGCACGGTTCCCGCCAGTGAATCCTCTGCACATAGCAGCCTCTTGGGTGTCAGCGAGCAAAATCGCCGTTTAATCTCCGCTCCCGCTGGATTAATTAGGGCCTCCTTAAAACAGAAAGTTGGGCGCCGGAGGCTTCTTTCCTGGAATACTGGGTGGTCGACACTCCTCTCGCTCAGCTGGACGCCCCTCGCCAGGCACTATTAGACACAGGGTCCCGGGAGACTTGAGTGCCTCTCCCTAAACCTCAGCCGGGTCCCAGGACCTCCTGGTGATCAGCGTCTCTCCGGGTCAACAGAGTCAGGTTCCAGGCCCGGCCACTTTCCTCCAGTGTCCCAGCCCTCAGTTGGGGGCTAGCGGCAGGGTTGAGGGGCGGGGCGCGCAGGGGAGGCCGAGGCCACGCGCTATTCTTGTCACTGTGAGCTACCGGCTTGTTATGTGCAGCACCCAATCACGCCTGCAACCCGTCGCGTAGATCCGCAACCCCCCCGCCCCGCCCTAATCCCCAAGGCTTTGATTTGATCCTCCGCGCAGAATAAGCTCACTACTACCAGCCCCGTAGCCAGTAGTCCCAGGCCCCCGCGGATGCCCGCAGAACCCGTCATCCTTGACCACACACCAGAGGTCAGAGCCCTCGCTTCATAGTCCCGGGACGCCCCGAGGCAGGCCACATCTGCGCATCTCGGCCGTCGGAGATCCAGCACCCCCGGGAGTCGGTGTGCAAGCAAGTTTGCCCTTCCAGGTGATGGCGCGAGGCCTCTGCGGCCCCTGGCGCACAGGTGTGCGCTCCCCAAACTGGGCCGGGGAGGGGGCTTTGGGCAACGTGCTGGCAACCTCCGCAGCCGCAGAAACCAAACCTTGCACCCCCGCGGAAGACTCCAAACACCGTGCCCTCCACTACCAGGGGCTTCTGGAATCCGTTCCCCGAACGAATTGGCTGTGAGAGGGATATTCGGACCTGTGAACTTGGATGAAGGACCCCTCCAGTTTAAGCTGAGCAGGAAAAACAAAATGGGACTCTGCTAGGGCCCCTGAGTCTCGTGCGTACTGCCTGAAGATGCCTCCGGCGGCGCCTGGCTGGCCCCATCCCCCACCCGGCCGCTTCCCGCCCTGGTCATCATGAGTTACTTCCTGTCTTACTGCAAAGCTCATGGCAGCGCGCTGCTCACCGGCTACCAGGCCCTACGCGCCGAGGGCTTTCTGTGCGACGTCACTTTGGAGGCCGAGGGCACAGAGTTCCCGGCGCACAGGTCTCTCCTCGCGTGTTCCAGCGACTATTTCAGGGCCCTGTTCAAAAGCCACACCCAGGAATCCCGGGCACCGGTAATCCACCTGCACGTGCCATCGGCGGCTGGTCTGCAGCGTGTACTGGACTTTATCTACACCGCCTGGTTGCCGCTGTCTATGGACACCGTAGAAGATACGCTGGAGGCCGCCAGCTACCTACAGGTCACCGAGGCCCAGGGATTGTGCGGCCGCTACTTGCAGCGCTTGCTGGCCCCGGAGAACTGTTGCTTTGCCGCTAATGTGGCGACGCGTTTCGGTCTGGCGCATACGCTGGACGCAGCTGAGCGCTATATCGTGCGTCACTTGCCCGAGCTCTTGACTCGGGGTGCGGACCCCGTGGGACTGTTGGAGCTTAACCCTGCGTCACTGAGGGCGGTGCTGGGTGCTCCCGACGTGGCACGGGTGCCAGAGGCCCAGCTGCTGGGCCTGGCGCTGGCCTGGCTGCGACAGGAACCCAAGGCCGAACGCCTGGCCCACTGCACTGCGCTGCTGGAGCGTGTCCGCTTCGGCCTGGTGCCTGCCGACGTGCTGCGGCGTGTGTACTCGGGCTCCGGCCTCGCGCTGCCTGCCCGTGTCAAAGGCCTCATCATCCAGGCCCTCAACTACCATACGGCGCCCTCCCGCCAGCCGCTACTGCAGGGCGAGCAGACCAGCGTCCGGAGCCCGCAAACCCGCATCTTATTGGTCGGGGGATGCAGGGCCCGGGAGGCGGTGACAGAAGAGGTTGCAGTCCCCCAAGGGGCAGCCAGGGGCAGGGGCGCCGTTCTGGTGCCAGAGGAGGAGGAAGAGGAGCAGTTGCAGGAGGAAGAGGAAGAGGACGTCGAGTGGGAGCTCACCCAGGACGTGGTGGCTTTCGACGTGTACAATCACCGCTGGCGAAGCCTCACGCGGCTCCCTGAACCACTACTGGGGCACAGTGTGTGCGTTGCGGGCAACTTCCTGTTCGTCCTGGGCGGGGAGAGCCCTTCCGGTGATACCTCCTCTCCCCAGGCCGACAGCCCGCGGGCAGTCACCGGCCAAGTACACCGTTACGACCCACGCTTCCATGCTTGGACGACAGTGCCCGCTATGCGGGAAGCGCGGGCCCACTTCTGGTGTGGCGCTGTGGGGGAGGGGCTGCTGGCCGTCGGGGGCTTGGGCGCGGGCGGTGAGGCTCTGGCCTCGGTGGAGATGTACGATTTGCGCAGGGACCGCTGGACTGCGGCTGGGGCGCTGCCGCGGGCCCTGCACGGTCACGCAGGGGCTGTCGGGGACTGCGGTATCGTGTACATCTCTGGGGGCAAGTCAGGGAGAGGCGAGGGCGGCGCGAGCAGCCTCAAGGAGTTGTACTCCCTGGGCCCCGGGGACAGGGCCTGGAGCAAGAGAGCGCCTATGGGCACGGCTCGCTTTGGGCACCACATGGCTGCACTTCGGGGTGCGGTGTTTGCCTTTCTGGGACGCTATGAGCCCTTTTCTGAGATTGAACGCTACGACCCCGGCACCGACCAATGGACTCGGCTGCGGCCGCTGCCCTACGACCGCTTCTGCTATGGGCTGGCAGTTGTGGAGGAGACAGCGCTGCTGCTGGGGGGCGTCAAGTGGCGGGACTCGCGCCAGGTGCCTACCCGAAACGTGGTAGGCTATGACCTCGACCTGGACCGCTGGGAGGACATCGGCTGCGCGCTTCCCTGGGCCTGGAGTGGCCTGCAGTGCGCAGTACTGCAGCTGGCTGAGGGTGGGGACGAGGAGAGGGAGGGAGAGAGCAGAGAGACTCCAGATTTAGTGTTGGGCTTAATGGGTTAGGGCAGTCTCAGGTCAAGGGAGGAGAAAATCGTGCTGAGCGGAGCAACTGTGGGCTTTTCCTAAGAACGAGACTGGCAACTGAGTGGCTTCTGAAGGTTAAGGAGGCAATAAGCGTTTGGTCAAACAGGCACATTTCCCTTTAAGCTGAGAAGGGAAGACAGCAGGGGTCAAATAGAAGGATACATGAATCAGCTTCAGTGAGCTGAGGATTTGTAGAAATTCTCATTGCTGGGCTAGAGATGGACTTCCAAAAATAAAATATGACCTTATTTTCCTTCATATTGTTAAAGTATTTCCCTAGCTGCTAAACAGTGATTACGTTTGTGCCAAACAAACAGCCAAAAAATGTACCATAAGAAGTTATATATAAGACCCAGAAAATTATTAGCTATAAAGGCTGTAATAAATAGTCCTAGAAGACAGCATTATCTGAATAAATAGTGAAGGGAAAGTGTCCTGGTTAAATAGCATGAAATCATTGCAAGGAGAAGTATGATTTTATGGTCCAGAACTGTGGTTCTGTTCTGCTTTAATCTGAATTTGGAGCATGAAAAGGGAAGAGATCTCTAAGAAAGCACCTTTAATTTTTTAATAAAAATAACCTAGGCTAAGTTTTTCTGTCTCTCATCCTTACTTACCCCTTGTCTGCATTTTTCCTGACTTTAGGCAGCACACTGCTTTTAAGTTATATTTCAGCAACCTTAGCCATAATATTCAGTCTTGTTGGTTAAGTAGAATATCTAACAAAAACAAAATCCTATTTCTTTTATCCTCATTAAATATTCATTCTGCAGACATGCTGTAGGTTACATTATAAAAGAAAACCACGAACCTATTTTTGGTGGCTCCTCCCTTCTCCAATTTCCCCAAAGAGTCACAGAGAAAGGAAAGAGGAGTAGGTGAAATGTTCAAGTTCGCATCAGGGAAATGGAAAGCCAGCTTGATTTTACAGGGACTCAGAGAAGATGCTTGTATCCTGAACAGGTGCTTCTTCTGGGTTGTACCACCAATGGAGTAGCGAAGTTAGAACCTGTAAGGAGGGATGGTGGCTGTGTGATTGCATCACAAAAACATGTGGTAAGGACTCTGCATGAATAAAGTAGGTGCTTTATAAGGATTCATTAAGAGCTGAATTTATTTGACTTCAGTTTACAGTGCTGCCCCTCCTAGATTTGAAACTAATGCAATAAAATGTACAGATATATAGTGTTAAAAGGTCTCTTTCATGCTAGGCTAGCCACAAGTCTTTTAAAATTCAGTTTAATTTTTACCATTTAAAACAACAGAGCAGACTTTACAAAAGGAAAAGCTGCTTAGTAGCAACACAGCTAGTCTTCCCATCAACTGCTTGCTGTTTACAGGGCACAACCTGGCCACTGTATCCATGACACATCCATCAGATACAGATATTTTTAAATGAATGTACACATTTGGTCTAGTAAACATCAACAAGTCTAAATACCTTTAACAAGCACACTTCATTTTAGGACAAGAGGATTTTTTGTTTGTTTTTTTACATATACAAAATCCCACAAATTTAATGTGCATCAATATCCATGCAGTAAATAAATGTTTTTACAAATAGTTTTTTTAAATGATAAAAATATTACACTGGACCCAAAATTCCATACAAACATTAATACGTGTTTCTCATCCATTTTGAGTAAATATAGGATTACTGAAAATGTGCTGTAGAAAGGCCACTTTCCTGTACAGTTGTGCAAAGTCTGCAAAACGATAGTGATTCAATGGTGGTTTCAAAAGCAAAGAAAAAGATCCCCGCTGTGGAGTTCTTACTTTCTCCTCGACAGCAAAAATGTTCACTGGCATGTGTCTGAACTTTTAGAGATGAAAGTACATTCACTGAGCTGTACAGGCAACAGTATAAAGCTGATTAGAAGTAGAGTTTAGGATATAGAATAGTAAAGGAGGGTCCCTTCCTCCTCCTAAAAAAAAAAACAGCAAATTGTGACTTGTACATTACGCAGCCAGACACTAAAAAGCAGCACAGTCATTATCATGCTGTGATCACTTTCAAAAACGAGATGCTTATAAGTGGAAGTATATGAAGAGGACTTTTCCATAGACTTCATCCCTCTATAGAACAATTCATAAAGTCAGGAAAAACCTCTATAAATGGTTTCTCTCATACAAATCAATGTAAAAGATCTATGAATGACCATCATCCTCTTGCTCCTCAGGAGAGAGGTATAATTTTATGTTTCAACATTGTTTTCTATATTATAATGCACATCAACCTATAACTAAACATATTTTATTTCCCTGCCTGAAGTATAATTACATGAGTTTAATTAATGGACTAGCAGGAAAATTGGAAACTAATTGGAAAGTTGATTCATTCCAGTTTATACCTTGTAGTTTTTTTAAGAGTTGGAGTTTAAAAACATGAGTTTGGGCTGAACTATATATATATATATATATATATATATATATATATATATAATCTGTTAGCTGCCTTTCTGGGTGAGTTACGTGTGTTTTAAAAAATCCACTCTCAAATTCCTCTGTACACAATCAGCATATCATCACTACAAAAATAAAGGAAGATTTAAACCAAGAAAATAAAGCAGCTCTATCTTCAATTTTGGTCTTAGTTACAAAAACATCTTACAAAGCTTTGCCCTGATACACCATTAAGTGTCCTCATAGATTTGGAATAGTATTCCCATTAACCAGCTTTCACAAGTTAATAGACTATTAAGACGAATATTAAATACCTGACTTCTCTTATGTTGATGCTCTTCTATTTTGCTTAACTCTTGTAGGCGCATCTACATTTCACAAAAATAAAACTACAGCATTAAACTTTGTGCAATGTTTAAGAAAATTCTTAGAACATTTTAATAAATATAAAAAAGGTTTAAATTCTTTCCCACCCACAAGGATGTCTGCACCTGAAAAAATGTGATTTACTTTTGAAGTCTTGTTTATATAAAATTAACTTAAAGGGAGAAAAGATGACCGTAGGTAGAAAACTGCCATTTTGTTTTTTCTACTTGAAGACCAGTTGTCTTCAGAATAGTCTGCAAAAGTTAATTTTAAGTCATTGAAGACAGTTGATTTTGCACACGGTAAACATAAACTGAGCATTAATTGCATATAAAATATACAAATGCTCATTAAAGACAATAGTATTATGACCATATATGGTTTGTTTCATATAGTTTGGTAACACTGAAGTATAGCTTATCAAGTGTCCCACACATTGATATAAAAACTACCTTATATACTTGTTCAAAGTACCAGAAGATACCAGATGGCCTGAAGGCAGAATACACTTACACGTGCGTTTCAATGTATGAATGGGTGTGTGTTAGAGAGGAAGTGATTACATCTACTTCAGAAGAAATACTTAATGGGTCATTTGAGGTGGTGGTTTGACAGATATCCAAGAAAAGATCAAGGTACATCTGCTTCCATTGTTGGAATTCTTTAGATGTCAAGTCTGGATTGTCTAGGACTTTGTCGATAATGGCTACTTCCCCTTCTCTGGCCTGAAAAGCAAAAGGATGCAATGGTTGAGATGTGGGCAAGCTATTGTTTAAATTTAAAATAAAAAGTTAATAGGCAAAAAATTGAGAAGCCTATCAGCCATGGCTCTGGTATATCCAAACTCAGCCATTTAGATTCAAATCCTAGTATACGTTTTTCTACCCCCAAGGTTTGCTTTGTATTTCCCACTCTGTACTTCTTTTTTTTTATCATTTACTATCTCGACCTATGGAAACCTTCCTCATTCTTTAAGATCCAGTTCAAATGCCTCTCACTTATTGAAGCCTTCCTTCATCGGTTGGGAAAAGAAATTCTCTCCTTCATAACACTTTATCACTGCCATTGAGTGGACTTACCATATTCTGCCTTGAGTTACATTTACACGGTCCTTTCTCTCCTGATAGGTGGTCAGTACCTGTCTTTTATGGATCCAAGGAAGGGACAGGGAAATCTAGGGAATGTTCTGCAGGAAGTGGGGAGGCACACTTCTGGGCTAGCCAGACTTGAAAGGTAAAGACAGTCATGTGCTGAAGCATTTGTTCTTGTCCCTGGGACCAGACAGAGTTAGCAGGGTTGGAACAAAGGACGTTTTGAGTCACTCTGTGCTTGTTGAAGGGTCTACTACAATTCCAGGAATGACACACACCCAAGGTTGCTTGGGCAGTTGTCCTTCCCTAATGGGATATTTCCATTTCCTATTAATTTCCCACACTAAAAAGTATAGGGCTCTATAGTTTTGTTTTGTTTTTTTAACCAATGAGGGGCATTTCTTTTGTGTTTCTTTTTTTAAAATTAAATTTACTGGGGTGGCATTTGTTAATAAGATCATATAGGTTTCAAACGTACAATTCTATGACACATGATTTGTATGTTGCATTGTGTACTCACCACCCAAAGTCAAATCATCTTCTAAGGCACATTTCTTTACAGTGATTTTTGTCCTTCTTTGCCTCAGAGAGTAGAGCATCACATGCCTGGTGACTCATCACTACTCATTGAATGGAACATACTCTTTGCTACTGGAAGGAAACTTTTTTTTGGAAGCCACAGAGCATAAAAGATAGGGGCAAGGGGCTGAAAGAGAGAGGGAAAGGGGCAGGTCTTTAAAATATGTGAGTATGACCTGCTTCAAAATGCCTGCCAGCTGGCCAACCAAGCAGTTTGGACCTGAATGCGGGGGGGGGGGGGTTGGTGCAGGGTGAGGGCCTGTTAGGTGTGAGGGTAAGGATATCTTTGGAGTAAGTTTGGTCACCAAAATTATTCTTAGGAATATTATAGCTCTTTTTAAAATTCTGCTCTTAGTTACCAAAAAGCCATTAGGTTGTCCCATGGATTTGCAATAGTATTTGCATGAATACCAACTGAAAGCTTTTTGACTGAAAACTTGACCACTTGCCAAGGGAAATGTTTTTCAAATAATTCATTTTCTATTTTATCTTTTTGGTACTCATCTATGTTTCAAAATCACAAAACCTCTGCACCATACTATGAATGTGAAATACTTCCCTAAGGAGTCCTTTGCCCTTTTGCTCAGTAGGATAGTTCTTTTTTCTGTTTTTGATTTTCAAGGGTGTGAGGCCTGCTTGCAGGAGAGTTTTTGTGGCAGGCCCTCTCCCTGCCAGCCACACACAGGGAGGGCACTCATTTTTCTACCTCCTTGGATTTCCTGCCTCTCAGCTCCCCTCTCCTCTCCATCTCTTCACCAATCTGGGGGTGGCATAATAAGAAGACCACAGAGAGTGAGCATTTGTGGAAATGTATAATAGGAAAGTAACATGTGAATTGGGAACTAATAGTGTAAACAGAACAATTATAAAATTTCTACATGAAACATGAATCACTGTGGCTTCACTCTAAACGTGCTTCAGGAAATAGTCCTGAAATATCACAAACCCTTTTAGCACCCACTACTGCATTTTGCATGCATGCTGTGTTCTTCTAATAACTATATTACTTATACTGCATGGCACATTTGTCTTAGGAAAATGAAAGATTGAGTAATAACACTAGCCTTACATTTTTGGAAAAAATATTGATTACATCCTGTTTTCTCCTTGAAGTCACATAACATTTAGTCAGTGCTTTGAGATGTTAATGAGAAGTTAAAATTATTTCCTCTTTACCTGTTCACTTATTATGCTACAAGAACAGCTCAGCTTCATGTTTTTCCTGTTTACATATATTGCCCAACCCACCCCCTCCCATCCCATTTTGTATTCCTTCTGGTAATTGTCTTTGAATTCAGGAATGAACCTCTTGAACACAAATTTCTCCTTCCATTTCCTATCTTACCTTTAAAGTGCTTTTGAGAATTCTCAGCCTATGTAGTTTTTCATTCATCACAGGATCATTGCATCTCTTTATAAATGATAGCTTGTATTCCATTTTGGTTGAAATGCGATGTTCTCCCAGTGGTGACAGACTGGCTTGCTCCAGTGCCCTGTATAAATCTTGCAATGAGTCTCCTAACTTTTCTTCCCCGCTTTCACCTGCAATGTTAAAAAAAAAAGAGAGAAATGAATCCAGTGTAATAAACATGTATTTGACACTCCAAAAATCTACTAAAAACCTACTAAAAATCATCTAAAAAACAAGATAATGAATAATTGGAAAGACACTCTATTACATTAAAAAAAAAGCCCAACAAACCCACAGCTGCTAGTTTTACTTGGTAAGATTAGCTACAGGCAGCCAATCGTTTTAGAATGATCAAATAACAGGATGCTTTGATTAACAAAATATTCTCTTAGTAGCAAATCACTGTAAATATCTTGAGTCTATTAAGTTCAAAGAATTAGAGTACAAAAGGTACACAACACAGAAACAATCCTGCACATAATATTATCAAACATTAATAAATATCCCTTATCATTATATTGGTAAGCATAGGAATGCTGATTAGTGAGAGCTCTCCTGGTTTAGCAATAAACTGACTTTTTACATTTTTTCAGACTTCATAAAATGGAATGGCATTCATTGAAATCTATTTGATTATACAAATCTTCCTATAGTGTGCCATTGAGGATTAGGTTTCATGTGAGTGCTATAATAATGTCCATCATGTTGTAAATATACTAAATGATCATAAATTATCAATAATAATGCTCTAATTAAATCAAATATGGGAATATGTTTATATGAAAATTAAGGAGAAATCTGACATATACTAAGAGAAGCTACTTAGCATTTGTAAGACCCAGGAAGAAAACACTCCAATGAAATATTTTTGAGAAAAAAATCTTAAAGAGTGGTTCAGGAAAGGACCTTAGATCTACTGAACAAGTCAAACTCCCATCTTGTTCTTTAAATGCCTGAATATTGGTACCAACCTTTCTCAACAATAATAAACAAAGATGGACTTGGATTTTACCTGTGGTGGTAGATAGGATTAGGGCTATAACATATTTCCATCATCTCCATTAATAGAGAGCCAGAGTACTATTTGAGAAGTACTAATTGTATTGGCTCAAGGAGTAAATACGTAATGTTGTTCATTCTATCATGGTCCATGTGAATATTTTAGGCTTTCTGACATAGTTCAAAAAGACTCTCTAATTGGCAATAATAGTAAATATTTATATGTGCCACACAATAGGGTAAATGCTTAATGGTCATAATCTCATTTAATCCTTACAGCAAAGCTAGGAGTAGATCTATTTGATTTTAATTTTACAGCAGGGGAGCACCTTGTTCAAGGTCACAGTATCTAGGGGAGCTAGAATTCCAACTGGGCAGTGTAACTCCAGAATTCATGATTTTAATAAGAATTTGATACTGCCAATTTCGTCAATAATCATTTGAGCTGTGTATTTAACAATTAAGTGTTCACGAATTTGTGAGACTCCCTTAAAATGCAGCATTCTTAAAAACTTTTTAGAGTGTACCTAAAACCACCCCCAAAGCCCACAAACAGTACCTTAACTTAAAGGGATCACCTTTAGTATTAAAACGTAGCTTCATTTAAGTGTCATATTCAATTTTTTGCTCTGATGCTGAGCAACTATTGTGCTGAGCAATAGGTTAGCAACTATTGGTAGGTATGATAATCGAGTCCTTCCATTAGAAAGTTCCTTGTTATCATCAGCACATGCTATTACTAATTCCATGAATTTTAACTTCCTCGTCATGTATCTACTTTAGAACTATAATCTAAAAATACAACAATCCCTTTAAATAACAGCTTTAAAATTTTCTGTTGGCTCATCTTTGAGTGTTGGCAACACCTAGAGGATTTTGAGGGATGAATGGATGGAGGACTGTAAAAAGGAGAAACTGCTTTGTGGATTAAGAGCAAGAATGAAATGGAATAGTGAATTTTAATTGAGAATGGTTTGGAGCCAGGAAGACACAAAATCATAAGGTCATTCAGAGTAACTAAATGGAGTTGTAAAAATGAGGATACATTTGTACAGCATAATTCCATTTCATAAAATCATAGGCCAGGAAAGGACCCCTAAGAATTATTTAGCAGTTGTTCTTTTAGCCTTAAGGCAAGACTACATCTAAAACTTGATGTAATTTCATAGAGCAGAGAGTGACAGAGAAGTAGGAGACCTACATGTGAATTATAGTAGTTTATGTATCAGGTGTTCTAATGTATCATTAGTTTTGCAGTTTTTGAAAGAAGATAAAAAAGGGGATTCAGATTATAGTTTTAAGATTTAAGGGAGCAGAGTGTTTTTACATAGTAAATTTTCATTTTACAAATAACCTTCCATATTACCTAAAACTGTAGGGAGTATATATTTTGTTTTAAAAACATTCTTATGCAGTTTTATTTCTCCCCAGTTCTTAAAGTTTGTAGAATACTGGGCCAGATGATTTTTTATAAAGTTTCAATGTAGTATTACTTTTAAAAAGATATGTAAAGATTTAATATAAAAGTGATAAACAAAGCTATTCAATAAATAAAAACTGACAGTTTTCCCCCCCTTGTTTTTGCAATTAAGGGGGAATAAAGGTATTCAACCAAAGGACAAGATAATTCTACAAAGAATCTGGCTTGATAACTGTAAGAATAATTGAATATAGATTTATCTCTGGGCAGCACATATGAACATGAAATCACAATGAGACGGAACACAGAAACATTTCCTAATAATGGAATAGTATGGCTCCTACTAGAGATAAGTAAGGCACCCCCCTACCTCTACACATCATACACATATACAACATCACAAGACACAGCAGTGGGATGAGGAAGGATGAGGGATTGACATGCCAGGCTACCAGAGGATGCCACCACTCACTGAACATTTTAAGACTAGACAAAGAATCCTTTAATTTTCAAAGGAGGGGGGTGAGGGGCAGAATCACGTTATAAATCTGAATCACTGTGCTCAACAGTCAAAACAACACAGAACTCAACATTCAAGACAAAAACAGACCTTTATTTTCTTTTATAATTTTCAATTGGTTTCCTTGATTTTTTTTCTCAGATGAATACCACTTAAGTCAATTGGTGCTACTGTCACAACTGAAAATATGAAAGCACCTTTATTTTCTTCTCTTTTTGCCCTCTTCTTCTTTGTCTCCTTCTCACTTGTCTTCTGGTTTCTCTCTTTTTAAACCCTTGCTTTTCTTCTAGAAGAGGCTTGCTTTAGAAGAGCAGGCAAGCACTTGGTGAAGTCTGCTTCCTGATTGACTTTCTTTCAACATGCCATTGGAGCACTGGCGGAATACCAGCTCTTTTGCAATTTGAATGAATTTCTGAAAGTTGGCAAAGTATAGAAGACCACATGCAAACCAGAGGACATATTTAGGAACCTTCAGTGATTCCTAATGAGGAAGTGTATTGCTGCTACAATAAACTTTTAATTGGTATCTAATTTATTGAGGAATTCTGGGCTTTTGCACAAATAAATCCCCTCCTACATTATATTTATGTTTGCAACATGTAAATTAGTTCTGTGTCAGGTGATAAACTTTTCCAATTGTATTAAAGCAAAGAGAACATACGGGGTTTTCTTTACTACATAAAATTTCATTGACTGATAGATTTGAGTATCACAAAGAAGTTATTTATAAATTAACTTCTGTGCCAAGGGAGGGTCATTTATGGCCGTGTCATACATGGCAGGGGCAAAAGAAGACCCTCTATTGCTTCATTGATACTCTAGCTCCACTATGAAATACTGTGACCCTATTCCTATGTGGTGCGCATCACAGCAGCTGATTGTTTAGTGCTTTCAGGTTGCATATGCCCTCCGCATAGTGATAAAGAAAAGGTCAAAGAAAAGGTTAGCTAATGCAAAATAAAAGTTTGTTGGAACTTTCTTACAAATGGATTATTAGCTGATGATAATACATTTCTCAAATACTGAAAAGTCTTCAGTTGACTTATTTCCTTACGTTCATGCTCAGTGGTTTCCAAACTTTTTGATTGTGTACACTTATCAGTGAAAAATACTACTGCTTCTGCTAACTTATATACATGTAATTACTCTATATTAATAGATATGCATGTTATAAAAAGAGACAGAAAATAAATTAGAAGAACATGAGCTATAAGACCTGAAAAGAAATTCTAGTTTTTTTCTTCCTGTGCCTCATTGGCCCCATGTACACCCTCCTTCAAAGACTTAGACTGTGACTTTTGTTGAGCAGAAAACCCCCGCTCTCCTTTGCATTTTCCATTCTTCTATCTGGCACGGTGCCTCATGCACCCAAGGTTTAAACTGAGTGGTGGTTCTCTCTACTTTGTACGCACAGTACTCCAAAGAGGGCTCCCTGTCAGGTGACTGTGCAATATTTATGACAGTCTATTGTACAATTTCACTCATGTTCCTTTGGTGAAGACTAAGGACAGCAGAACACAAACTTGGCAACCCAAAATTTCATTCTGATGTCCTCCCCATTTCCCCATGACTGTGATGACAGTGTTGAAAGATAGTAAAAAAATGGAAAGAAAACAAAACCACTATACCAACTGGGCTCATGAAGAACCAAGCCAACAATCGATAATCAGTTTGGTACATGTTTTGGAAGGGAACTGTGCTCTTTTATAATTGGATAATGATGTCTTCCTGGAAACAGTTCTTCCTTCCACAACACAGCTGGGTAATGAGCACAGAAAGCTGGGAAAGGCTAAGTCACAAGGGGGAGAGAAGGCTGGACATAGTAGCATTAGTCACCAGTCAAATGTGAGAGGCATTCGTTCTTGTACAACCACAGAAGGCTTCCAGGCTAACGGTGTCACGTATGTGGAGCACTATTCTTGTCATGAAGGTCAATTAAACATTTGCATTGAGACAACGGTAATATTTTCTGTGAATACTAATTTACTAGCACACCATGATGCATAACTTCTTTTAATGTAAGCTGATGATTACACGTTTAATGGGTTTAATGTAGATAGGTTGAATGTTCATAGGCTCTATGCTAAAGATGATTATGTATTCAGGAGTTTACACTGTACTTTGAGTTGTCTTATAATTAAATGTTATCTCTCTTAATTCTTGTTTTTATATAAGTCAGCTAGATAGCTATG